CCCATATCCAAAATTCTTCCCCCAAGCAATCATAGTTTCTTTAACTTGTTCTTCTTCTAGTTTAATTTCTAATAAATATCCAAACAATTTTTTAATCACCTTTTCATCAGTACCTGTCAAAATCTTATCTAAGTCAGTCAGTTTATCATAGAAACCTTCTGTTTTAGAATCTTTATCATACCTTGAATGTATTTGCGCATATGAAAACCAATTCATCTTTATACCTTGTTCCTCTAGTTTTTGTATAGATTTAAGTTCACCCTTTTCATTCAATATTTCACCATATCTAACTGTTTGTTCCTTTTTGTATATTATAGGATAAGAAAATGCTTCAATAGTTGATAGCCAGACTGGAATTTTCAAATAACATTGTCTTTTAATCTTCTCCCAGTTTAACCACAGAGACTCCCGTATATAATATCTTCTAAAATACCCCTGTGTTTTAGTTCCTTTATACCATAAAAAAACATGCTACCCCAACAACAGGTCATGTCCTTCTAATGTCAACAATCTAGTATTTCTTAATGTTATCCATTCCTTAACCCACATCAAATTTGTAGCTTGGTAATACAACTCCCAATTAGGCAAACCAAATCCTCCTCTTATTCTAGCATCTTGCAAAAGTTTTAACTTTACTCTCGCTTTCTTACCTTGCCATATATATTTCAACACAATTTTATTTAAATCTTCAAAGTAGTTTTTTCCAAGCCTAATTGGAATTGTTTGAAACAAATATAAAATTCTGGGTAATATATTCATCTTGATTGTTGATATTCTCCCTATTAATGACAGTTTTAAATTTCCCATTTTGCCAAATCTAGTGCTATCTGCTGTTTAAGTTTGATATAATTATTCTCTTTTAGTGTACTGCATCTTGCTGTTAAGTGTATGCCCAAGTACTTGATCTTATTCGTGACCTGAATTTTCAATAGGTCTGCCAATTCTTCCTTTTGTCTTGATAGCATATTCTTTGTCAAGATCTTTGTCTTATCTTTATTTATTTTCAAACCAGCCACCTTTCCATATGTCTCTATCTTTTCTATCAATTTTGATGCTGTTTTTAGTGGGTCTTCTAAGATAAAAACCAGATCATCTGCAAATGCTTGTAACTTAAATTCTTCCTTTTTAATTTTCATCCCTTTTATATTCTTTTCATCTCTAATATTTCTGTTTAGCACTTCCAAAGTTAACACAAACAACAGAGGTGATCGTGGGCACCCTTGTCTTGTTCCTTTTCTTATATCGATAGATTCTGTCAGTTCTCCCTCTATCATTACCTTTGCCATCTGCTTATGATATATAGCTTCTATTGCTTGAATAAATTTTCTAGCAAAGCCCATCTGTTCCAGCAGTAATAACATGAATCGCCAATTCACATTATCAAATGCCTTCTGTGCATCTAGAAATATCAAAGGCATTTGTTTTTCGGGATGTGCCTCATAGTATTCCAAAGTGTCCAAGATTACTCTCATATTGTCTTTGATTTGTCTCTTTGGCAGAAATCCATTTTGGTCAGGATGGATAAAATTATTTAAATATTTTTAAAGTCTTTCTGCCAATATTGAAGAAAAGAGTTTATAATCTGCATTTAGTAGGGAGATAGGTCTATAGTTCTTGATTTGTAATGGATCGGTCTCCTCTTTTGGAACAAGTGTGATATAAGCTTCTGACCATGATTTAGGTATCCTCTTCTTTAACATAACTTCATTCATAACTTCTAGCAATGGAAAATTCAATGATTCTTGTAATGTTTTGTAAAATTCTGCCGGAAGTCCATCTGGGCCTGGTGCCTTTCCATTAGTTTGTTTCTCAAGTGCTTCAGTTAACTCCATCATCATTATATTGCTTTCTAACATTGTTTCAATCTCTTTAGGTATCTGGGGTAAATTAGCATTCTGTAAATACTGTTTAACTCTTTCCTCATCAATATTCTCTTGTGTGTATAGTTTCCCATAATAATAATAAGTATGCCTAAAAATAAACCAAAAAAAAAGAAAAAGAAAAAAAAACCAATATGGAAGGTAGATGGAAAGACAAAAATACCAGGAAGGGAAAGAGAAGAAAAAGGCTACTCCCTTAAAAAGTAAAGGAAGGGAAGCATTAATACTAAAGCTTTTCCTTTAAAATAAAAAGCAGACGTAGAAATTTAACTTCCAAAGACAAGAAGAAAAAACAAAAAAACAAAGACAAGTTCCAGAGAGCCAAAAATCCAAATAGCTATTGCGAAAAAAAAGTAAATAAACTGATGAAGAGGGGTAGCACAGCTTAAAAAGAATAAAAAGAGCACACTGCACTTTGTTTGATTATCCAAGGCTCTTGTTGTAACTCTCTTCTCCAAAGACTTATCACCTTTTCTTTTCTGAAGCTTCAACACCAGACTCCAGCTGTTGATAGAAACCCAGAAGAGCACCTGTAATAATACTCTCCCGTGCTCTTCCCTCTATCTTATCAAGCAGACAATGTCCTTGAAACAAAGTCTCAGTTCTTTCTCAGCTTTGTCTGGTCAAAAGAAAAATAGAATATTTCCAAGCCTCTAGTTGGCAGTGTTACAAAGTTTCTTTAGCTTTCACTTTCCCCCTCCTTTTCCAAGCAAAATATAATAAGAATTAATAAAAAGAAAAAGATATTTAAAAAATAACTAAAAGGGAGTCTCTGGCTTAAAATATTATAAAATCAAAAAGGAGAGAAGAATATATAAAAAGAAGAGGAAAAAAAACCAGTCCAGTTTCAAAATATAAGATCATGTGTAGAAAATCTAGCAATGAGAAGAAAAAAATATTACTTTGACATTCATTCCTGTTTAAAATCACCGCTTAATCACTTCTGTCAAAACTTTTACAGATTCTTTCTTTCCCTTAGGGTGTCCTTTCAAGTCTTAAAATAAAGAAAAAGTTCTCACCAAACCAGCACACTCTCTCTTTCCGTTCTCTTTCGTTTCGGAGCTGTCCCAACTTCAGCAGCTTTAATGGCTGCCTCTTTGCCACTGGCAAAAAGAGCTTCTCCTGGATCTACCAGGGACTTTGCGGTATCCCTGGGATCGACAGGATGCGCTCTTTACATTCACCGTCTCTTCGGGATGGTTTAGATCCACTTGGACCATCCAGGAGCAAAGATATTGGCTGCGATCTCAGATCTCCAAGATCGCATGCCGTATCGTCGTGACGCCAGACTGATTTTTATGTCATTGCTTCCCTCTAGTGGAAAATCATTAAAGTGGGACTGTGTTCCTAGGCTTTTCCTGAAATGATTGTTAATACCATGAATCCTGCAATAACAGGGACTAGAGTATATGGAAAATCATCAATGGCTCACTTAGAAGCTGTAAAAGAAACTAGTGGGAGTTGTAACAAAGCATCATTCTGCCTTTTTATCCATTCCAGTCCTCCACTTCCTGTTTTTTGAAGCTCCACTGAGGCCTTCAGTCTCTTAATTATTTTAGTTTAATGAGATCCCTCAAGCCTGTGGATATTCCCTCTTGGTCTCATGCACTGGATCAGCATTCTCAAATTGAGTTTCTTATTAGTTTACATAAAAAGCAGTGAACCCCAAGCATTCATTTATTCATCTCCTTTCTGTCATTGGCCTGAAATCATAAGTGAGCAAGGCGGGGTACTGCAGATTCATTCACTTCTAAATATGACCTAGCAATTCTGCGAATAAATAAATAAAATTGTCTTTTAATGATCCTGCAATCCCTTGCATCAGGGTGGAGTCAGTGCAACTAATGGAGGCTGAGTGTTTACTGGCCGGATGCCCTTCCTGTCACCAATGCAGAATTCGCAGCTGATATTTTACTCATTGTGTCCAGAGAGAGAAATATCTGCGGCTACCTAGGATCCAACTCACAGCCTCCTGATTGTGAGGCGACAGCTCCACCTCTAGGCCACTGCACCACTCCAGCTAGCAATTCTGCAGTGATATGTGAAAATAATTACTCTGAGAATATGGAAACCTGACATAGTTGGGATTGGGACTCACATCAGATTTTTTTCTTTTTCTATTTTTCTTTCAATTTTTTTTGAGGGGAGAATATTATGTCTCATAATTAGTCATGTTTTTTCTAAAGAAACATCATAGACAAACATATTTATGAATGAATTTAGGATCAATGTTTTATTGATCTCTGGAAAATACATTGGCTGTAAGATATACTATGAAGTCCTCAACTACCTGTCTACTCTGCCTGTCAGTTTGAAATTTATATACAGATAAATCTTAGGATGCTTCCTTTCTGCCTAATCCTGATGAAATAGGTTTATAGCAAAATAAAGGGTGGTTTTATTATATTGTTGTGTTTTCCCTACAAAAATATATTATATACTCAGTACAACATATTCTACTAAAATACAAGTATTTTATCTCAAGCTTGTAATTTAGTACATTACTATGCCTTAGAACAAGGGTGTCAAACTTGTGGCCCGTGGGCCAGATGAATCACGGGCTGGTCCTGCCCCCGCCTAATTTAGTGAAAGGGGAAAAGTCCCTATATATCATGTGATGACGCCGTGATGACGCAAGTTTGACATCCCTGCCTTAGAAAAACTAGATTCATGCTACATATTTTTTTCTCTATATATACAATGTACGTGCAACTGTTTCTTGATAACTAAAGGGGAGGAACTGAATTTCATTATCTCTCACTTAACCAAAATCAAATGCAAAACAATCCAAATTTTAAAGAAAATGGCATCAACCCATATATAATAACTTCCTTTTCTAGAGGTTTCTAGAATTATTCCTGTTTTCATCGTCTCATACATCTGCTTAAGTCTTTACTCCCATAGATTTAATAGTGATTACTCTACAACACAGTAGATTTAGAAAATAGATACATAGTTTGTGCTCCAATGTGCTATTTTTCCAGAAAATATATATTTTCTCATATATTTAATATTCATCTATATATTAATATATATCTAAATATATTGGATATATGTTGTTTAGATATGTGTTGTTTAAACAAAAGTAGAAATAGGATTTAGGAAATTTTATTACCATGCTTTCAGCTTTCTTATCTGGAGGAGTAGGATAACAAAGATTATTCTGCTTATCACAACAGTAAGCAAGGAAACCATATCATCCCACTCTAGACATAAAAGTACCTTGTTTTATATAAAGAATACTTGCACAGAATTTCACTGTCAGATTATAGTGCAGCCACAACAGTATCTTTCTGGATAGTCCAGGGCATACACTTTGTTCTCTGTTCCGTAGATGTAATAAGTATAGGACTTTGCAGCATATCGATAATGGACTTCAGTCACAGGAATTAGCTCTATGGTTTGTCTCTGAGAAAAGAAAAGAAAATATCATTGTCATCAGATATAATAATCATGCTGAGGTCTACACTCTGCTCTATCTACTGGCAATCCATCTCTTGTTTTATTAAAATATATGCATACTTTCAGCATGCACAATTAGCATCTCATGAATATTATTTTAGTTGAGCTTTCTGGCACACTAATGTGGACTCTAGAGTTGTGTGCATGCTTTAAACAATGAAATCTACTGTGTGTCACAATAGAATCCAGAAATGAAAGAGATGTGTTCTGTATTTTCTCTCTCTTTCTCTGTATTATTTTCCATATGTAGAGAAAATATATAGTAAGAAACAAGAGGGCTGTGGACTGTGAAATTATTGCCATTACCTTTTATATACTGGACATAATTTGGGGAGGCACTGTATCTTGTATGCATACAATAAATGTATCAGGATCTTTCTATTAAGGGGTTTGGCAAAGTATCTACTAAATGTGCCATTTACAAGATAAAAAGAAAATCAAATGTAGATTTGTGGACTCTGACTTCTAAATCCTTCATATAAAAGACTCAGTAAAGTTTATAAAATGCATATCATATGTTTTAGTTTCCTGGGTTATTGAAGCACAGGTCAAAACTAGAAATATTTAATAACTGTCCCTTTAAAATGAGAAAATTATTGAATGTGTTCCATGCATGAATTTGACACCCCTTCCACACAATATAAAATACCACATAAAAGTGTTGCTTGTGTGACACATAGAAAATTGGTTGAGTCCTTCAGCAAATAAACAGCTATTACAATCAATATGTCTATCCCACCCCCCACCCTCCAAAAAACCATTGTTTGATTGGGCTGGATGCTATATGAGATGGGCAATATTATCTACATTACATACATAATCTGTGCTAATACAAAATATATTTTTATAAGTTCAGCAGGAGGATTTCCATTTTTCTACCATATGATGTGATATTTGTGCATAAAAGAAACATGCCTTACAGAAGGCAGATATTTTGCAATGTACTTGTGTCTTTACTACATAATTGTCTTATTCACATGGATAAAAGAAGCAAGAAGGATAAATGTAAAAAAATAGTCGAACAATTGACTGCCATTGTTTAAGTGCCTAATCGTTATGATTGCCTGATTCTCCTCATGCCACCCTTAAATGCCAGATGTTCTGGTAGAGGGAAAATGTAACTCTCTCCCAAGCTACTGACATCTTTATCATTACACAACTCAGACAAATTCTACCATAGCTTCCACATAACTTCAACCTACCACATAGGTATTCATATCTCAGTATCTCAGAACCTATGAGAGATTTATTTATTTTATTTATGCATTTATTAAATTTTTATACTGCCCATCTACCCTACAAAGTGACCCTCGTTGAATCAGAAGTTATAAAATAAGTAAAAAATATAATCAAAACATTAAAACTGCAAGGATTAAAGTATAAGTAAAAACAGTATTAAAATTGAAACTAAGAGAACTAAGAGATGGACAAGACAGGATGAGGTCTTCTTACCTCATCAGCCACTTCCAGTGGTGAGCAGCCCTAGACCAACCAGCAATCCAGCTTTTAACACCCTTCCGAAAGGCCAAAAAGGAGGGGGAAATCTTCATTTCTGACAGTAGGATGTTTCACAGGGATGGGGCCATAGCAGAAAAGGCTCTTCCCCTTGATCCCCACCTGATTCAATTCCATAGCAGATGGGATCCATAGCGGGCTTCTTTCCACTTGCGTGAGTGGGGTGAGTGTGTCCCATTACATACACCACGGTGGCACAGTGGTTAGGGTGCGGTACTGCAGGCTACTTCTGCTGACTGCCGGCTGACTGCAATTGGGCAGTTCAAATCTCACTGGACTCAAAGTTGACTCAGCTTTCCATCTTTCTGAGTTGGATAAAATGAGGACCCAAATTGTTGGGGCCAATAGGCTGACTCTGTAAGCTGCTTAGAGAGAGCTGTAAACCGCTGTAAAGCAGTATATAAATTCAAGTGCTATTGCTATTATGAAAAGACAGCTTTTCTCAGATACCCTGGACCCATGCCATGTAGGGCTCTAAAATTAACAATGAACACCTTGAACTGTACCCAGAAGCAAACTGTAACCAATGCAACTTGCACAGTAATAATGTTATGTATACAGTCTTAGGAGCTTCCAGAACTATGCATTTTAACTGCAGTTTCTGGATACTCTTCAGGTATCACACTCCCCATGTAGAGATCAATGCCACCCCTTTTCTCTGGTCAGAGGTTGGTACAAGACAGATTTCAGATGGGATGAGATCACTGTCCTTACCCAACCGAGTCTCAGTTATATATGGGACATTTTCCTGTCATGGATGGATGAATTCTTATTATAGATAGATCACGGGTGTCAAACTTGCTGCCTTGCATTGCCATCACGTGACATTTTGTGATGTTTTTCCCATTCACAGAGCTGGGGTGCACATGGCCATGACACATCCAGGGCATGGGCTGCCAGTTTGACACCCGCAAGAAAGATTTAGAGTTGACCTGAAACATTTTGAAGCAAGGAATTCTGGCAATCTGATGACCTACGTCCCAGAAAAGAGTTACCTGCTCAAAAGTAGAGATGTGGATTTCTCTTCACATAGAACAATTTAGTCCCCAGTTCACTTTCCTTGCTGAGTACTACTAGGATAGAGTTGCTGTGCTACCTTGATTGCATGTTAATGTATTTCCCCTCCAATGACCAGAATGCTACTGACTTGTAATGCAAGTGTGTTCAGGTTCATCTCTTCAACCAGGACAGCCTCTTATAGGAGCAGGAGCAACAAGCCAGGAACAGACCTAGCTGTACACAAGAAGTCTTGGCTCTCTCAAGTAGTTTTAATATGTGTGTGTTTAAAATGTTTTAAAAGTGTGTCCTGCTCACTTTTCTGCTATTCCTCCAGTTCTAACCTTTCTGTCCAGGTTCCATGGTCTTCTAGTCAATCTCTGGGGAAAGGGCAGTAATGTGCCCTTAATTTCATGACTTATCCACTTTCCCATTGGTCTAATATCCCTCCAATACTCATTCTAAACTTTCCTGTATTAGAAGCAAAACCATTTGCACCCTGACTTCATGTTCAGGAAGAAAAAAAAAGGCAAGTGATGTTTACAAGAGAGAGTGGCAAGGGTTGAGAGAGATGGGGAAATAAAGGATACATATTCCCTTTGGTTCAATTTTCTGCTTAGAAAACACTTTATTTGGTTTTGTTCTTTTTCACCTTTATATACTTCCCCAACAGACAGAGAAAATACATTTCTTAAGAGGAAGAGTACTTCTCACTTGAAAAGGCTGGTGTCAGAGACACTTTTAAAGCTGCTTGCTTTTATTTATCCTTTCCTTGATGTGAGCAAACCCTTTCCATTAAGTGAAAAACAAGCTCAGTGAAAGCAAAGTGAAGGAATAAAAATGATTCAGTATGCTGTAATTTCAGAGATATTCTGCTAGTACCATCAGTGCTAGCTGGTGTCATCCATAGTAGCCTCCTTCTGCCGTGAGTCCTAGCAACTTTAAAGAAAACACAAAAAGCATTTCCAAGTGCAGGAATCCTTTTCAAACTTGGCAACTTTAGGGCTTGTGGACTTCAGTTCTCAGTTTTCCTCACACTGGCTGGGGAATTCTGGGAGGTGAAGTCTACAAGTCTTAAAAGTTGCCACATTTGGAGAACCCTACTTTAAGGATAAACCAGATCCTTTGGCTGTGTATCCTAAAGTAAGATTACAGAGTTTTACAGAGGTTTCTTCCCAAATAAGGGTGACAAGTGGAGTTTTTGACATTCAGATTTTCCCTCAAATGCATCTTATTTGCATTGGCACCAATGGAAGTGTTCAAAAAAGGCAGGATGGTAGTAGCAGTAGTACAACAGAAACCTCTTTGATTTACATGTCAATCTCATCCACGTGTACAAATAGCTTCAGTTGTGTCACCATAACCACTTCCTGGCTTTATTTGCAATTCAACCTGAAAATGCCAGAGTTATAGAAGCAGAATGGAGAACACATATCCATATCCTAACTGCAGCTTCAAATTTCCCTAAATAATGAAAGTGCAATTGTGGAATTTTGGCATAATCAGTCCAGGCTTTACCAGTGGTATGGGATTTCTATATTCTCCTTTTTCTGGTATATCACCAGGACAGAAGTAACAATAGCAATAATGTATTTTGACTGCATTAAGAAAAGTTTATTTTCCTTTTTGATATATTTCCATTTCCAGCATGAATTGCTTCATATCAGCTAAAATTTAATATGACTAGAATGAAAATATCTTGCAGCCCTACTCCTCAATCCTTAAAGGTAAAGTAGAACTTAACACCATCAAAAAAACTACAGGTCCCTGGGATGAGAAATCTATATAATCTTTGATTCTTGGGATGTTGGATCAGAACTTTCTAAGGAAAACTAAGTAATCTTGTGGCCTATAGAAAGGTCTTTCCATAAGACTGCCAACCATAATTTTTTTCACATGGATTTGCATTATTATTATTATTATTATCATTATCATTATTATTATTAATATTATTATTGTTGTTATTGTTATTGTTAAAAAGAAAAAACCTACATATACAGTAAAAATATATTTTTGCTCTTTATATAATTATCTTAGGAAACATTCCTAATGTTAAAGACACAATAAATATCAACACCAAAAATGATCCATATGATAAGTAAAGGTAAAAGTAAAAGAGTCCCTGAGTATGTTAATTCACTATAGTCACAGTCTAATTTACGGGATGGTGCTCATTTCTATTTTTAGGCCATTGAGTCAGTGCTGTCTGAAGATGTTTTTGCGGTCATGACATCATACCTCAGTGCAGAGCATACAGCAAAACATGATACATTGTTACCTTCCCACGAAAGTGGTACCTATTTATCTACTCACATTTGCATGCTTTCAAACTGGTAGGTTGGCTGGAGCTAGGGAGAATAATGGGAGGTCTCCCCATTGTGCAGTGCTCAGGTCTTGAACCTGGACTGTTGGCTTTCCAGCTGGCAAGCCCAGTG